TGAAGCTGGAAGCCATCATTCTCAGCAAACTAACACAAGGACAGAAAAACAAACACCATTATGTTCTCACTCATAAGTGGGAGTTGAATGATGTGAACACATGAACACAGGGAGGGGAATATCACACAACAGGGCCAGTGAGGGAGTGGGGGATTAGAGGAAGGATAGTATTAGGATAAATGCCTAATATAGATAATGGGTTGATAAGAGCAGCAAACCAGCATGGTATGTGTATACCTATGTAACAAACTTGCATGTTCTGCACATATATCCCAGAACTTAAAGTATAATTTAAAAAAAGAAAGAAAGAAAATGGTTGCTACTGGGAGGGGGAAAATGAAAGTGAAAAATAGCACAGGATCACCGTTTATTATAAACACTGTAGAACGCTTTCCCTTTTTAAAGAATGACATGTATAACTTAGAAAAAAGTGAAAATTACCAATCCACTAGAATAATTACTAGCCACTCAAGTCACCTGGTAATTAGCAGACCACTTGACCTCCCGGATCAGCACAAAACTGCCAGCCATTCCTTCAACATTCCAAAATACATTTTCATTTTAGAAAGATGAAAACTACAGAAGATAGGAAGAAATAACACAGAGCAACACCACTCAAAGATAATCATGTTAAATATTTTGGTATAACTGGATACTTTTTTCTAGGCATTTTTTCAACAACTGACTTCATATCTGGCATGTAAATTGGTATCCTGAATTCATTTCTAAAATAACTGAAACTAAATAAGAGGAAAAGATCATTTGCTGGAAAAAGAAACCCAACCTCTCCCAACTCATAACACAGCAATTCAGTATGCATATTCTATTGAAAAGAAGTCAATAACAACATTTTTCGCAAAAAAAGCAGAAAAAAAAAATGTAATCTCTTTTAACAAGCAACAGCTTATAGCATATTAATTAAGAGTCCAGGTGCTTGAATAGTCTACATGGGCTCAAATCCAAACTCAACTGTTTTATTGGTTGTGTGATGGACACTATTGTAACATCCACAAGCCTCAGTTTCTCTGAATGTAAAATAAAAATGATAGTACCTACCTCCTAATGTTTCTGTGAGGAGTGCCTGTCCAACAGTTAGCAAAAAATCCAGCATGTAGTAAATGCTCAGTAAACATTAACTATTAGCATTATAAGTATTATGATTAATAACCATCTAATGGGTTAGACACAACAAAAATATATAAGACCAGCAGAATAAACAAAGGGATTTAACAAAGCCAAGCACAAAGGGTCACCAGCGTGAGATGTAGGACAGGACAAAAGCCTCTCCTCTCTGGTATTTGACACTAACATTTATTTGTCAAATAAGTGAATCATGGATGCACTTTAAATTCCAAGCTGAGGAGTTTCGGAGCAACTTTAGTGACCTGATCTGCTAAGAGAGGGTTGCGTAGGGAGGGAAAGAGTTATTCAGGGTGATTCAGTAATGGAAACTGTCAAAATGTCATTACAGCAGGTCACACTCTAGAGAATAGGTCTTGCACAATAGGATACTCCTAAAAATGTGAATTAATTAGGTTTTGAGATACAGTTGACCCTTAAACAGAACAAGTTTAACTATACACGTCCACTTATATTCACAAATTCAATCAAAAACACAGTATTTGCAGGATGCAAAACCTGCGTATAGGGAGGGCCAACATTTCCTATGCAAGGGTTCTGCAAGGCCAACTGTGGGACTTGAGTATGCATGAATTGGTGTCCTGGGACCAAGCTCCGCTGAGGGACAACTCTACTGTATCCTGAGTCCCTGGCAGAAGGAGAGTAAGAGTCAGAACATTTTGAAAAGAATGCTTGATGGCCAAAGAAGTGCTAACATATAACATAGTCCTGTAGCAACTGAGAGTCCTTCAGAGGGCATTCCATTTTCAGTGAAGAAATTATCTTGGGATGGGGCGAGAGGAGACAGGAAGATCATCCCTTCTTGTCGAGGAGCAAATATTCTGGAAAATAAGAGATTTGTCCAGGACTTGTGTTACTTGATCTTCCTGTGAAATATAAACATATTAAGAAATAAAACAACAAACGTCGGGCCAACTGTCCTTTCTTTTTTAGTCTTTATCCTAGGGAGATGTATCAACTGAAAGGCAAGGGTGCGGAAAGGGGTGAAGGAGTCACAGGTAACTGAGAGAGCTCTAGCCTAAAAATAATGATCCAATTTTAGTTCTGCTACTAATTAGCTGAACAATCACACTTCATCACTGCCTTGGTTTTCTGGTGTGTAAATTGGGGATGTAACATCTGTTCTACCTACCTAAAAAAGTATCACAAAAGAGAAAATGGGATAATGCTTCCATCAGCCCAAGTCCAGTCAGGTGACAGATGCTACATCAGTTTTTTGTTATTTTTTAGTAGAGAGAATAGTTGACTAGGAATAACAAATTATTAATTAGGTAAATAAAAAGGCCAAAAAGACAACACTAAAGTAGCATGGAGATAGCTGGGCACAGAGGTGCATACCTACAGTGCCAGCTACTTGGGAGGCTGAGATGGGAGGATCACTTGAACCCAGCTTGAAGCTGCAGTGAGCTGTGATCACAGCACTGCACTCCAGCCTGAGCAAAAGAGTAAGACCCCCTCACAAAAACAAAAAGTACCATAGAGGAATCAACTACTGACAGCAACTTGGTATGATGTGGCTGTGTGCCCACCCAAATCTCATCTTCAATTGTAGTTTCCCTAACAATTATAATCCCCATGTGTCATGGGAAGGACCCGGTGGGAGGTAATTGAATCACGAGAGTGGTTTCCCCCATGCTATTCTCATGACGGTAAGTTCTCAGGAGATCTGATAGTTTTATAAGCGGTTTCCTGCTTTGCTCAGTTCTCATTCTTCTCCCTGCCACCATGTGAAGAAGGATGTGTTTGCTTCCCCTTCTGCCATGATTGTAAGTTTCTTGAGGCCGCCCTAGCCATGCCGAACTGCGAGTCAATTAAACCTCTTTCCTTTATAAATTACCAAGTCTTGGGTGTATCCTTATAGCAGCAAGAGAATGGACTAATATACTGCTACACCAAGGCTAAAGGAAAAAAAGGGAAGTGGTTGGAATTATCAGAACTTTGAGGTTTAAAGGGGGCGCACCCAGAGAGCTGACCCTTGGCCCTCTGAGGAGGAGGTACTGTTGAGCTGGTATAAGTGTCTCTAAGTTTGGGGGCAGGGCAGCCCTCTGAGGTGTGAACCCTGGTCAGTCGATACTGGCATCTCTGAGTTAAGGGCACAAGAAAGCTGCTTCTGCAAATTTTAGAACAACTGCAAACTAGATTCACCTACTGCTACTGCCAAAATCATCTGCTGCTGGGGTTAAGAGGGAGGCTAGGGTGAGGCTGACAGAATAGGAAGCAGGATGGAAGAGGCAAGTCTCTTCATAAAGACTCACTTGAGGGGAATGGCAAGAGCTCTTTAAATAGAATCAGTTATTCACTCTCTCCCCTTTGTGTCTTTATTTTGCTGAAATACGCATACTCAACAGAATACACAACAGAATGACTAAAATGAAAAAGAAGAACATACTAAGTACTGTTGAAGATGGAGAACCAGAACTCTTGCAGGCAGCTAATGAGAATAAACACTGAATAACCCTTTGTGAAGACAGTTTGGTAACATCTACTAAAGCCTAACATACACTTGGTCCTATCACCCAGAGGGTATACTCCTGCATGCACACAACCCGTATGAATCCATTTATAAAGTGTTCAGCAAGAAATGAATATGATCGACGTTCTTAGCAGTCAGGAAGGTGGTTACCCTTCGGGCTGGAGAGTGAGATGGCAGCAAGAGGGAGACTTCTGGCATGCTCTGCTTCTTCATCTGGGTGCTGTTTCCATGGATGTAACAAATTCATAAAAACTCATCTGGTTGTACATATATGTATACTTTGATGTAAGCATGTACTATTTTAATAAAAGTTAAACCTAGTGCCATTCCACGTCTGAGCACATACCCAAAAGCAGAGAAAGTAGGAACTCAAAGAGACATTTGCACACTCATGTTCATGGCTGCATTATTCACAAAAGCCAAAAGACGGAAGCAACTCAAGTGTCCCTCAGTGGATGATGAACAGTTTTTATATATAATATTCAGCCTGAAAAAGGAAGGAAATTCGAACACATGCTACAACATGTAGCATGAACCTTAAAGATATAATGTTAAGTAAAATAAGCCAGTCTCACAAAAGGACAAATGATTCCATGATTCCATGAGGTGCTTAGAGTAATCAAACTCATAGAGACACAGAGTAGAATAATGGTTGCCAGGGACCAAGGAAGGAGGAATGGGGAGTTATTGTTTGACAGTTATAGTTTCAGTTTCACATGAGCTCTGTGGATAGGTGATGGTGACAGTAGCACAACAAGGTGAATGTATTGAATGTACACTTAAAAATTAGTAAATTTTATGTTATCTGTAATGTAAATTAAAATTTTAATTTTTAATTTTAAAAAATGTGATTCTAATATATACCCTCCAAGTAAATGCATCCTAATGAAGTTACTAACTTACCTCTGGAGGACATTCCAGCATGTTTACCCCTCTTCTCTTATTGGGCTACTGTTAACTCTACCTTTTTAATCTTCTGTACAAGAAGTGAAAAAACCAAGGATGGACTCTCCCAAGTAGCAAGGAGGGATGCAGAAGACCACTTTACACTCACATGGAACCTCACACGAAACAAACTGCTCTAACATCCTCCTTCCCATGTACACTCACAAACCCTTGTGAGTAAGCCAGGTCAGAGAGATCTGTTTCCCTCACCTCACGGCTGGAGAAACTGACTGAAAAAAAATACTCACAGCCAAGGGAAAGAACAAGTTTTCTTATACCAAATTCAAGCTGTAAGGCATCCTTATGATGTCTTATGGAAGTTCATTAGTAGACTTAAAAAGCAAATTCAATTTACAAATTAGTTTTGTGCTTCTATTGCTCCCGTAAGAAAATGCATAATGTTACACAGATCTTTTTTACATTTTGAAAAACAATTTCACTGTTTGACTTGAAAACAGTTTATTTAATTTATACAAATAACTACTAAATACAAAAAGTAGATTAAAACAAAATAGTTATTTTTTTTCTGGCAGAGTTTAAATGCACATAATGGATAATTCTGAAGAAAATGCATTTTCCCCGTAGCGTTCAGGACTAAAATTCTACTGAAATCTTTGCTTCTAAATCAGTAATATATTCGGTGGTGTCATGTGGGTAATGGCTAAATACGTTCTGCATATGAACTGAAAAAAAGTTACAGTCTACACACATACAAATGTGAAGCACTTAAAATGTGAATTTAACTGATAATAAAAGAAAATGTCCATTTTAGAGTATAGTGTTAAAAACATTTCGGTAACAAAATCATAAGACCACATAAAAATAAGCTTTAACATATGCACGAAGCAGTTTTGTAAAAACTACTAAGTGCACAAGTAATAAATAATTTGCAAAGTTGTGTATAAACAATTCCTAATGTTCGGCATCATTGTAAACATCAGCACATGTGTAAAATGCAGCAAAGTCTGACATTACATTTTGTTTTGCCAAATTGAATTCCTATTATCCAAAGACAGACCAGTGGAGTACGCAGCCAACGTTTTGGCAAGTTGGGTCTTTAAAATTAAGAGTAACAGTGCAAGTAAGGAATGCAAAGAATTCCTAGTGCAATAAAGAAGAGAAGCACAGGCAATATTGCTGATTAAAAATTCACCACCTCCTTGAGTTTCCCGTGGGGAGTGTCTAGGAGACTTGTGAAAGCTATGCAAAGCCACTGTCTTAATGCCCAGATCTCTTTTAGGATTTCTCTGTGTTCCTCCAGTCCCTACCTTTCCAACAGTGTCTGTCCAACATTAGTCTCTGCAGTGTGAACAGTTCGTGAAATGCCCAGTTCACAGTCATCGAGAGAGGTTAGGGTGGTTTTGATGTCTCCCCAACACATGGCTGGGTATGATGTCTGCCTTGTGAAAGCAGCCTTTTGGGGAGGGAGACAGATGGATTCTGTTCTGACAACCAGTCAGGCCAGCATTAGGTCCCAGCTGGACAATGACAGCAACGTCAAATCTTCCTTCTTGACACTATGAAAATGTCAACAGTCAGTTTTCAATTTGTCCAGGGAATTATCAATTTTGGTCAGAGTCTTTTTGATGCGCAGCGCTGTGAGTCTTGCAGATGGATTCTGATACCAGCATTCTTTCATTAGCTTGGCCAGAGAGGTTAATGTCTGAGAAGAGAAAGAAGAAACACCACAATAACAAACTGGCTTTTTAGTGGCCCTGGAAGCTGGACTGATAATCATGTCAACTCTTTTTAAGAACTCAGAGGTCTTGTGAAGTGAGAGTTATGTTACTGTCATCTTCTTTAAATGAATATTCAAGTTTTAACTCCTGATAAAGAAGCCACTCTTGGAGTTTCAGAAACTCTGTCCTTTGGACTTTTAATGCTACCAATTTACTTTACCAGGTGAACGACCTAGGCCAGATTGGACCCCTTAATGATTTTATGGGTGCTAAGAGAAGTAGTACGTTAGGATTAGAGATAATCCTGAAATTTCCAAACAGGACAATGCCTCATTGTTTTATATCTGCTACTACTTACGAACAGCAATACAGGATCTTCAGCAGTCAGCAGCTTGTGTTTGGGATTTCAGATATGTAGAGATGGAAGGGAGGTTAAAAGCTTCACTTAAAGTCTCTTGGTTTACATATGAAACTTCAGTTTTAAAGCTAGTAACAATAGTCATGAGTCTCCGGATTCCTGGAGCTGTGCATTCACAGAAATTCTTACAAAAATTGTCATTCACTAGCAACCCTTATCAGATATGGCTTCTTCAAGAATGACAGTATTTTTCTGAACTTACTCTAGTAGATCTAAATCCTTCCACATAAAATAAGAAGAGAAAACAACAGATACACAGGGCAGATCACTCAGGTGCTATCGCAGTTAAAACTCAAAGGGAAGCAAAGAGCAAATAATGGAAAAGAGCTCTGAAAGTGAGAAACTGGCACTCTCACCGGGTCTGAGAACCATCTGTTGGGTATGTTTGGCCTCTGTTGATCCACACAGACTACTTTCCTCATGTCTTCAAAACTTGGATCATTGGGAACCACATCGTAGAATGGTGGCTTGTAATCCTCCACTATACCTGCACACAAAGACAAGAATTGTGTTGAGTTAGCAAGAGAGTACAGTTTCCCTCAAGGTTTCATTGTGGGTGTCACAGGTTATAATGTGGCAGAAGAAAACACTAATCACCTTCCTCATACCTCAGGGCAGTCCTGGATGCTATAAGTAGGTCCTAAAATAGGCGAAGAAAAAGGCAATAAATAGACACCCTGCAGGGTATTAGAAGAAGGATAATTGTTAGAAGAAAATACGTGAAAACTTCTCACGTAATCATAACTATTAGCAAAATTATCCAACAGTGTATATTAATAGCTCTGAATTGCCCAACAGGGCACCAGAGACATATGACAAAAATTCCTTCGGTGATCAAAAACACCCAAGCCACCTATGGAAAATACATGAATCTAGTGGTTCCAAACCATAAATAGAAATAAAAAGTTGTTCACAAACTAGAGCTAGGGATAAATAAACTAAAAGCATCATCAAAATACTCTTTTTTTTGGTTATAAAAGTATTTTGTTAAGAAAAACACTGTTATAAATTTATCTCTTCCATTAGGAGGGATGCAAATAATATAACAAAAAATACTCATTTCCTCATTCATTCATTCTACACGTACTGAGTACCCTCTAACTGCCAGGCACAGCTGTCTGACTGATGGCTCTATTGTTTACTATCATATTGAAGGCACAAAATAAAATGTAAAGAGGATAGCCATGTAGGAAGGCAGAGGAGAAGAAGGATAAATAATGAACTCTTCCTTTGCCCGAAAGCAAATATGAAAAGTAGCTAATTTCAGCTTCTGCCCCTGCATAATTTTCAATGTCCTGAAACCTTTTCTTTTCCAGCAAAATTGCATCAATTCCTTACTTTAAACAGACAAATTTTAAACTTCATTATATGGAATTAGAAAATGGATTCTTCTCCTTCATAGAAATAAAACCAAGATATCTATTATTTCCTTTCCCTGAACAAAGGTTTCAAACAATGAGGTCATTAGATAACTTGGTTTACTGCTCTCTTTTCTTCCTCCATGTGACTTTCTTCTATTCCTAAATACCTAAGAAGTTGTTGGGGACAGAAGGAGACAGCAATAAAAGTTGTAATTCAGTTGTTCTAGTTCCTACAAGCCACCTGAAAGCTTCAATCCCCTTTTCATTTATTATAGAAATTACTCAACAGTGGGAATCCATTCTCACAAATTCCATACAAATACAAACCATTTATACCAAATATTAGATATGATAAGGAGCATCTGTTCAAGAAATACTATAGATCTTTTTAAAACTTTACAAATTTGACTAAATAAAGGTTTGTATTTGACTGGAAATTGGTCTAAATTGTATTTTTTTTTTTTTTAATCTAGGCTGGGTGCAGTGGCTCACACTGTAATCCCAGCACTTTGGGAGGCCAAGGTGGGCGGATCACTTGAGGTTGGGAGTTTGAGACCAGCCTGAGCAACATGGCAAGACCCCATCTCTACTAAAAATACAAAAATTAGCTGGGTGTGGTACAGTGTGCCTGTAGTCCCAGTTACTCAGGAGGCTAAGACACGAGATTCACTTGAACCCCGGAGGCAGATGCTGCAATGAGCCAAGATCGTACCACTGCACTCCAGCCTGGGAGACAGAGTAAGATTCTGTCTCCAAAAAAAAAAAAAAGAAAAAAAAAAGTTAATTCCAAATTAATTCCAAATAACTTACCCAACATTGTGTAACTGCATTTGTAATGCATATCAGTCAGTGGATTGAAACCTTTCCTGGCAAATCATAAAGAGATAATATTGGGTATAAACTGCTGCTCTCACAAGTCTTAGAACACCTCATCTGAAAGGCCCTTCTTCTCCTGTAAAGATCCCAGGAAGCATTCAAACAAAAATCTTTTAATTATTTTTAGTACTAACAAACACCCCCTAAAATACAGGTGAACATGAACCTGAAGAGTTATTTTATATGTTTTCTAGGGTCACAGGAACTTATAGAAAACAGTAAGACATGTGCCCTTCACCATCTCTCAATTTTTCTGAAAGAGAATATATTTAACAGCCTGGCTTAATAATTAAAAATCTAGCCATCTGCTTGGAGTAATTTACCTGTTGAGCTTAGAAAGGGTTACGTGAATGTGAACAGTAACGCAATGTTGAAGTTTTCTATAAATGCAAAAGAAAACAAAGCATGGCTGGATTTTTAAAACATAAGATCTGGTGATAATCAATGAATTTCACTAGACAAAGCTGAAGTTTGCCCTTGTGTTTCCATTTCCCATGTTTTAATGTTATTAAATGCCTCCATGTTTTAACGAAAGGAGTCAAGTTTTTTTTAAAAGACCATTTAATTGATTATACCTGGGATTTAGTCAAGTCTCTTTTACTTCAACCATTGGCCAACTGTTGATTGGCCTGATGCTGGCCATACTTCTCCAAAATAAAATAAACCTGGGATTAAGGTCCAATAGTCACTTGGAACTCCCTCTGATCAAGGAAAGCAATAAATCAGTTGCAAGTGCATTACTACTGTGGTGGGATACCATATTAAATGCTGCGAGTGACAAAAGTATAAGGCACGCTCTTGTTTTCCAAGGAAATCAAAATCTTGTGTAGGAGCAGGACAAGCCTCTTTTTCTCTTAGAAAATGGAAATCTTGTCAAAAAGAACCTCAAAATCTTTTTTCACCCATTGAGTTTATATCTTGAAAGGTAAAACGATATCAGAAAATCTCATTCTACTTTCACTTGTGAGATCCTCAATTGACTCAATGACTATTTTGACTAGCTGTGAGTGCCCGAGACTGCTTGGTAGGAGGGATAAAAAAAAAAATCAAAAAAGACGCAGTGTTGGGGATGAAGCGCAGAATAATGAGAAAAGTGGAAGGAAAAAAAAGTAACAGACTAGCGTTAGAGGGAAGAGCACAGAGAAGAGAGTGGGAGGGACAGAGGGACTTAGCAGTGTTCAGAGGAGAAAACACCTCCATGGTATATCCCAAGTCCCCTACATAAACTGCGTGCCATGGAAGCACAGGTAAGCTTCCCAGGAGGCAAGTGGGGCATGGGCAGAATAGAAAGAGCAAGAGTTTGCAAGGCAGAAAAGATGACAGCGAAGAGAAACCCCCACTGAGTGGGTACATTCCAGGCAGAGGGAGGCTATGGGGCAAGGACAAGAACTGACAAACCATCCTCTGATGCTGGAGAGACAGAGAGAAGTTCTCTGGGGCTGAAATGGGTCCATGTGGTGGCAGGAGAGCCAGGGGAGAAGAAGAGGACAGGCAGGAGGTGAGGCCAGGCTGCGACGTGACGCATGTTGTCAACTTAGGAAGTGACTGACTTACAACAGTGCCTCATTTATGCCAGAAAGAGACAATCAGGGTAGTCAGGCAAAAAAGTGAACTCTAAGTCCTTTAGAGGCAGCACCCAAGAAGCAACTGCCAAATCGTGAGCCAGCAAAGAGCACAGCATAAATTCAGGCAAGTAACTAAAAATACAAAGCACTTCAAGTGCCAGATGAGCAGTACAAACAACAAACGACACAGGAAGGCAGCGGGAGAGGCGCCCTTAGATGGTGGCCGGGGACGGAACAGACTGAGCCAGGCCTCGCCTCCCATGTGAGGCGGCCAGCATGACTCAAAGGGCCATGAGAAAGAAATCAGAAACATTATTCATAACCCACTCCCCCACAACTTTTGGCAGGGGTGTCTGATTTATACAATAGTTTTTCCTGGGCATGTGTCTATTTGAAAGTTTTCTCTTTTTGGGGGTAAGCCTATCTTCATCAACAATATTCCTCCCATTAGTTTGCCATATGGCTCTAAGTCAACCCCTTAGCTGACAGGCCTTAGTTTTCTAATACCTTTAAAGTACATACCACAAAGCTGACATACAGATCAAATATGTCCTAGACATGCACTTGGAAAAGCATGAAATGCCAGTTGCCTCTCAAATGTCCAGAAAAAAGTCCTTCCTCAAGATATTGCCCCAAGGTCGTGAACTAGACACCCACCTTCTTTCCGTCTGACAGCAGCAAGCGGGACCCACAGGTCTCTCTGCTTCAGGCCTCCACCTGCCAAGCTCCACCCTATCCCACTACCCTCAGTGGGATCTGTAGGAGAAAGCTGAGAAAAGAGCTCACCACGCCCCTCCTGATGCATATATTCCATCAGTGCTATCCATGGGAGCACACCCTTCCCCACTAAAGTCCAATCTCCGCCACTGTCCTTCACACACCTGGACATCAGCCATAACAGAATTACTTGTAGTTTCATCAGTAGGGCACCTTTATGGCATCCTTCAGCTCTGCCTTTTGTCTGGCACACCAATTTCTCATTCCCACCTGCAACTCAGATCCTCCCAAGCTTGTCCAACTATGCTCTTACTAACCCATGGCTGACTCAAGTTCATGGTTCTCATTTTCTGAGAAGACTGTCCCATCCTGCTACCACAACACAGGGGCCTAGACGAAGTTCAGTGCCCTAGCCCCCACACTCAGTCACCTTCCTATATACCTCAACTACCGTGACTTGGTCCATTTATTTATCATAATTTGACTCTTCAACAAGAATGTGAGCACCTTTTAACTCAATTTTCTGGGGGTTGTTTTGCTCCAGTGCTTCCCCAGAGCCTAGTGCGTCTTACAGACACTAAATACACAAATAAATGTTGATTATGTATGTCCACAATCCTTTTTCAAAGTCTCAAGGTTAGATGCTTTGCCAAATTTGAAACTTTTCACATTTTATAAAGGTCATAAGAAGCATACCCTATATTTTATGTGACATCCCCAGCAAAATCTGAGGATTACCCCCATGACCAAATATATTTCTTCAGCAAAATATATGACCAGTCACACTAGATAGAATGAATAAACGTTATACACTAACTCATGTCCATTCAGGTCACATTTGACTATCACATGAGTTCAGGTTAGATGTTCTGTCAAATAAGTTAGGAAAAAGCTTTTCGGTTTCAAAGTTTTGGGGACTTCTCAGTTGTAGATAAGGAACTATGGACCTGGCTATGCTTTGAATTATC